AATCAAACACGCGGAATCGAAAGTCTGGCTGTCGGCTGCACCGCTTAACACGCTCGGTACCCAAATTGGGCACGGAGAAAACAGGCAAGATGCCCAACAGCAAGTGTTGTTCAAAACCGACAGCAGCCGTCGCCAAGCCGGCGACGTTGCTGCCTCATGCGGAAAACACCCGCGGCGACACCAGCAGCGAAGGCGCTGGCCAAGCCGGGGGGAACGATAGGGGGTGATCGGCATAAGGGGGGATGCATCGACCCCGAATGGTTGATGTATCGACGGTGCATCGACGATACATGGGCGATGTATCAGCCATTCGAGGTCGATGCATCCACCACTGTACCCATTTTTGGATCGGATGTTTCTCAAACGATACGTGAAGGTCTGTAGCGCTGTCCTCCCTGGCGGACTCGAGCTGGACCCCAAAATAGGCTTCGGAACAGGAGGCAGACTCTGGCGAGAAAGCTCCCCAAGACTCCGCAACTGCATGAAGGCCGGCATGTATATAAAGGTCTTTTTCATGAGTTCAAAAAAAGATCCCCCCAAACCGCTACCCCTCAGCAAAGAGTTCATTATGGGTTTCGACATGTTGCCGAAGGATGGGGGAGGGGGGGATCTGGGTCTGGGCCGGTGCTTAGTCGACCTGCTTCTACCAGTCGCGCATACAGACTCGGGGTGAGGGGGTGGGTACCGACCAGTGGCCCAAAGCAGCCGTCAAAAGCAGCCAAGATCTGGTCTAATGGAGGAGGGGCGGGGGGGAGGCGGAGCCCGCGCCGATCGGCGAAACAGTGCATAAACACAGCGACCTCACCGAGACTGCCAGGAACTGCTTGCCGGCCTCCGCCCGCGCCACACGCCTGCCTCGATCCCACCGAGCTGCGCGGCGCGCCCGCGAGGCCCTCCGACGGCCGGGGCGGGCCCCACGCGGGGGGGGGGGCGCTGCCTCGCCGCCTCGCCGCCGCGCTCCGCCGCCGCTCCGCCGCCGCTGCCCGCCCGTCGGCCGACGGAGGGCCTCCGGCGGGCGCCGCGCGCCTCGGCGGGCGCCCCGAGGGGCCCGCGAGCGGCCATCGCCGCACTCGCCGCCGCGAAGGGGCCCCGCCGGGCGGGCCGGGCGCCGGCGGCGGCGGCGGTCGCGCTCAAAGCGGGGCGTAGAGGACAGGGGGCGTCCAGGAGGGCGGGGCTCGCAGATCGCGGCGCGCGGCACGTGTGCGGCCCGGGGGGGGGGGGCCGGGGCAAGGGGCGTGCTGAAATCTGGGGAGTCACCGTGGCCCTGGCCGTGACATCCCCTCCCCCCGGCCTCCTCGAGTCGTCACCCCCACGGCGACGTCGACGGCGCAGGTGGCGGCGACGGCCACGGTGGACGGTGGAGGCGGCGGCCTATGGAGGAGAACGGATGCTTCCCTGGCACGGAGGAGAACGGATGCTGAGCGAACCAGGGTCTGGACCCCCCAGGGGGGACCCCTCACCCAGAGTCGACCTGCTCACGGCCCCTGGGACCGGAAGGGCCCTGGGGGCCCGAAAACAGCGACAAAGCTCAGGAGCCGTTTCCTTCATGCGAAGCCAGGATTCATAACACGTGGAACGGAACATCTATACCTATGTATGTATGTATATGTATTACACAAATATATGTACATATACATTGGTATGTCTAGATCTCTCAATGCACACACACATATATATATATATATATATATATATGCATGCACACATACATACATGCATCCATACGTACATACATACGTACATGTATATACATACACTCTATTACAATACATTACAATATATGACATTACATTACACTACAACACATTACGTTACATTACATTACAATGCAATACTGTACATTACAATACACCACATTACATGACATGACATTCCATTACGTTACATCACATTACATTTCATTACATTACATTACATTCCACTACATTACATTACATTACATTACATTACATTACGTTACATTACATTACATTACATTACATCACATCACATCACATCACATTACATTACATTGCATTGTATTGCATTAGAATACAATACAATACAATACAACACAATACAATACAATGCAATACAATACAATACAATACAATACGTACATTCCATTACATTACATTACAATACATTACATTTCATGACTTTACACTACATGGCACTACATTGCAGTACATTACAATAATATTACACTACAGTTCATTACGTTACATTACATAACATTACATTACACTACATACATACGTACACACATACATACATACACATACCTATATGCATGCATGCATACATACAAACATACATACATGGATGTGTGCACACGTCCACATCATAAACCACGGCTTCCGACCTCAGGACCCTTTTCCTTCATGGCAACTCCTGGTTCAGGCGGTTTCTGCGCCGCGCGCGGCAGTCGCCAACGGCCGCCTCGGGAGGCACTCGAAGCCCACCACGCCGCCGAAGATGAGCAGCACGCCAACGAGCCTCCAGGCGTCGAACCTTCTGCCTGGGCATGCTAGGTCTTGCCCTCGACCCTGGACGGTCGGCCCAAACTTCCTCGCGTCGTGGGAAAAGACGCGAGGTTTCGATTGCCATGTTGCGAATCTTCGGGCCCTCACTGGGCCATGGGGACGCCCCAAAAAACAAAATCGGGATGCAATCTGGACCGGGGGAAATGCCTCCTGGGGTCCGCACATCAAAAACAAACATGCGTTGGAGGCCTTATGAAGAGGAGAAATTGTTGAGTGCATTCGGGAAGTTAGTGAACTTTGTTTGCCCGTTTTGTCTCGGCCCCTGGAGGCCTCCGAGGACATCTGGGGCTCAGGCTCCGGGACGGAAGCAGAACTTACCGGCTCTGCCTGGGCGTCGTCATCCGCATGTCCTCCTTGTGTTTCGTTGTCGCCTTCGGGGGCCCCGTCGCCGCACTGGAGGCGGCTAGGGAAACGGGTCAGAATAATCGTTCCAGCGGGGGTCCAAATCGGTTTTGGTCCGACGTTCGGCGTGAGGAGAACGCATGTAAGGGCACATTACAAATTAATTCACATGTATATCTTGAGGTATCTGCATACGTAGACTGATACATGCATATACATCTGTGTGTGTCCGCCTCGGGGAAGCCTGCATACAAACAACTTGGCCTACCACTTGTGTTTCTGGTGCCATCCGCCGACCCTACGCCACCTGCCGCATGCGGACGCGCCGCCGGTTTACTTTTTCCGGCAATCCGCCGGCGTCCGCCAAGGGCGAGACGCGCCGAAGACAAGGCCCTTTCCGGAGCACGCCGTAGGTATATACATATGTACTTCTATGTACATGTGTACAACTACGCATATCGATCTACGAGAACATGTGGATATGTGTGGGTGCTGGGACACCCCCGCACCACTGAAAACATATCCATCCTATTTTCACACAAACGCCCCATGATTTGAGGAAGGAACTTCGCTCTTTACAATTCCGTTTGAAGTCCGCTATCCTCCCCCTCGAGCCAACACGTTTGAAGGCCCTCAAATTCCCCGCCCTCCACGATGAAAAAATAACCACAAGTGCTGCTGATGCTGCTCCTCCCCGTCCACCTCCCCTCGCACCTCGATCCCCCCCCCCATCCCTCACGGAGGGCAAGGAGGGAGAGGAGGAATGAGACAGAAGGACGGAAGGGAAGAGGAGAGTGGAGCCTGCTGGGCATGTCCTCCACAGCCATCTCTTTCCCGTCCTCCTCCACTGCGTCATCCTGGTCATCCTGCTCCTTCTCGTGCCCCTGCTTCTCATCTGGGGGCTACGCGCACATTCGCGTTACGTGAATGATGTAAGCATACATTCCTTGTGTGGAGGAGGAGGGCAACATAATATAAAACATATTATATAGAATATAGGAGCATGTATGATAAGTAAAGACCACACATGATCAGGTATGATAAGGTGGGTTGAGATAAGACCGATCGCGAGGCGAGTCATACTATTAATCAAGGTTTGGCCACCTGCTCAGCCTTGCTGAGCACTTTCGGCCAAAGACCTCTGGAAATTCGACTGCGGTGGGCCTGCCGAATCTTGGCCGGGGGCCCACAAGGCTGATCGAGACCTCGAAGCTGAGAATCTCCATAACACCCGCACGACCCGCAAAACTACAGGTTTGGGACTGGTAAACCCAACGTCCCGCGCGTCAAACTGAAATGGGCCTCGAGCTGAAAGCACAAGCTATTCAGCCAGTCGACCTCGGCGGCATCTGAGGCTGAGCTCTTGCACGCTGCACACTTGTTCCCACAGTCAGAGATCTGGTGGGCGCTTCCGAACACAACCGCGCACGGACGATAGGGGAAAAGGGGAAGCACGAGCAGAGGCACAAAAACGTTTTCTTTTCCCTGGGCCCGTCCTTCGCCAGCTCCGCAACCTCGAGGGTGGCCCGAAGAAGCCTGCGCCTGACCTTGCGCGCGTCGGCCTCGACCATCGCAGCACGGTGTCTCTGAGAAGCTGCGACTCTGGCTGCCCTGGCTGCAAATCCAGCCAAGGCACCAACAATAATGTTACCGTCTACCATCCACCAAGGGATGCTCGCGGAGACAATCTGCTCCACTTCCTTACCGAGATGGAAAGACACTTTCGTGACAACTAATCCTGCGGGGTCTCTGGCTCTGCTGGTGGCGAGGTCCTTGCCTACGCGACGCCAGAGATCAACGTTTGCACCCGCCGGTTGCTCGAATAGACGGCACCATCAGCCCCTGCAGACTTGTTCATTGTCGGCCATGAACATGGGCGGGCCTGTTGTCCACAGAATGCCTATCCCCAGAGCAAAAAGTTCGCCCCTGGCCACGGTCTGTCTGTGGCCAGGGAGCGCACCGAAAAGGAATCTAACTTCTGGAATCGCGTGGGGATCTCATGTGTTCGCCACGGCTAACCCTACTCGACGGAGTCGAGGGCTTGCGCGCCGGGCCCCCCCGACGCATCTGCGCGCAGCACAACAGGGAGATCGGGGGCCCCACTTCCGAAATTACCAGGGCCTAAAGCAAACGCATCGGGGCGACGCGACCAACTTTCATCCTGACGCAGAGGGGCCAACGCGAGTCCAAAAGGCTGGGATCAGCCCCCATGAACCAAAGCCAACGCACGCGGAATTGAATCGTCGGAGTGGCTGCACGCAGGTGAGGCGGCCTGAGCGTTACACGCGCCAGTACCTGCGCGCCGCCGTCTCGGCCTCGACACAGCGTCTGGGGCAACGGTCAATGTCGGAAAAGCCTGCCGCCTTGCGTCTGGTGGCGGACCATGCGCCGCCGACTGCGATGACCAACATCAACACCGCCAAACGTCTGCCCTGCAGTAGCTGTTCAAGTCGGTAGAGAAACGCCCCGTAGCTGCAGTTGCCGACACCGTCCTCCACCCCCGCCCCGAAATGCCCTCCAGCTGCGTCGCGCCGCTGCTGCATTTGAAGGTCGGAACAGAAAGCATCGAGCATCTGATCTGCGTCATCTGCGCCGTCGAGCCCCCTGGAGAAGCCCCGCCCGTGCTGCGTGCCATCCGAGCTCGCGGGCGTAAACCACTGAACCGGCGATGGCGGAGCCCACCCTGCAGACAGAAGATACTGCATGATAGCGGTGAGCGGTCCTCGGGCGTGGCGCGCTCGGCTGCACGCGGGAAGAACGCGAAAAAGGCCCACTGCTGCTCGCCACGTACGTTGGGCAGGGGCATGTGCTCTCCGTTCGCGAATCCACACTTTGATCCACACGGCGAGGCACTGCCTGGGAAAAATAATACCCTGGGTCCGTGCCTGGGGCACGGAGGTCAAGCAAAGTGACATCTGCCGCGACGATGGCCCCCCGCGATAGCCCCCAGCCTCCTCCGAAGGGCTAAGAGGCTCGTCTTCGGAAGACCGTGAACTTCGTGCCCATCGCGGGCGCCAGCTGGGGGCCAGAAAGCTCGACTCTCGGCGGCACTTTGAACCGCCGAGACGTGGTTGCGAAACGCTTGATCTCCGCGTGCTTCTTGAGAGTCTGCTGCATCCGCTTGGAGCGGGTCGCCCGCGCTAGCCGACGGCCAGCCCCTGGGCCCGCCTCCAGGTGCGGGGTTTGCCTGGATACTCGCACGACACTGCCTCGACGCCGAAGTCGTCGCGCAATGCTCCAAGCCGCGCCCATGATAGCGAATGCGACGACGCTCTTGTCTGCCAGCTCGAGAGACCCATCAAAGAGGTAGCCGCTGACAGCCGCGACTCCGTCAACAAGCGCATTCCCCACAGGAGCTGAAGCTGGCCCCACTGCGCCCTTTGAGAGACCGTCGACCCAGGGCCGCTCGGAAACCACTGGGCGGGCGGTGGTCAGATGGGTCATCGCGCCGTCGGTCACGCACCTCGCGAAGCGCGCGTCGCTTCGGAGGTTCCGCATGCTACTCCGCGTCGCCCGAAAGGGATCCGAGGTTGCATCGAACTGTGCAAAGAGACGGGCCCCAGCGCATATATGCAGTTCCAGGCGTGAGATCCGAGCGGGGAAACCGTATTTGATGGCGCTCTACACCAAGCCCTACCACTCGATCATGTCGCATAAGCTCCTGATGCCGCATAGCGCACGGCCGCGACTGAGCTTTAGCCAAGACTGCAAGTCTTCCTCAAGAGCACGCAGGAATACCTCTATCAAGGCCGAGTTGCCAGTGATGGCTGCGCCCCATGGTGGCGAGGAGTCGCCGCTCCAATCTTTTACATGCGGTTCGCGAACTAAGGACCGCGCGCGGCGCAATGCACAGGCCAAACCAAGCATTGGATCGCCGGGACTCCTCCTACGCAATAGCCGTCCCATCACCGACATCAGCTGCCAGGGCCATGCGCAACAGTCTTCGCAAAGCGTGACAGGGCTGGCTAGCTGGTCAATCGCCTCGTCTGGAAGTCGACCCAAGTCGACGTGGAAGTGCCTGTCCAGCCCATGGCCTGCTCGAGGCTCCACGGCCTCGATGGCTCGGCGCACCTCATATCGGACGTGATGGGAGGAAGATAGTCCCGGGGCGCTTGCTCTTGGATCTTATGGACAAGAGCTGGAATATAGTCTAGGTCTTCATCGCGAGCTGGCTGCCATGGCCGATGCCAGTGCTCGGCCTTGGCGTCAATGACGTCGATGGGCCAATGGAAGTGCCCGTCGACAGTCCAGCTCGTCAGTGTGGGGGGGGGCTCCTTGGTGGCCTTGAAAAGGGCCCTCGTGGAAGCGCCGTCGGTGATCCAGGCCTTGAAGTCCGCTGCGGACGCCGGAAGAGCTATGGACAGAGTGCGCTGAGAGATTTTAAAGCACTCTCTCTCTCTCCCTCTCTCTCTCTCTCTCTCTCTCTCTCCCCGGGGCATCGCGCTTCTCGTCGCTGACGGCCGCGAGGTTCTGCAGCGCCATAGACCGTTGCGCCCGTGCAGTGTCGGTTGGAGTCTTGCCCGCAGATGTTGCAACACCAGCTGGGGCTTGCCCCGGCAACTTGGTTCCGCTGACCGAATCTGAAGCAGACTGGGCGCATCCGCTGGCGCGTCGTCGATGCCGAGCAACCTTG